CGGTATCGCAACAGACGGACAACTGTTGCAAAAGACGGACAACTTTTGCAACTGGCGGGGAAATTAGTCTATTCCCGCGATATATGTAAGCTATCGCAACTGACGGACAACTATCACAACTGTCAGCTCATTTTCACCACGAGAAATCATCACAACTGACTGTCGCAAGCAACACAATCGCTTGTCAATTGATGACTCATTCCTGCAAATCATACACAACGCCGTCCTTCTGTTTCACTAATTGATAATTACACTTGTTAATCGCACAATTGGTTAATTAATGCTTGTTAACCCAATTTGAGAGAATGCGCGCAGTTGTGGCTACTGACAGCCAAGATTTCCAGTTTGACATTACAATATTCTTATCGTACCGTGACACTAGTGTTAACAGGTTTTATAAATTTCTTATTAGAGTATTAATTGTGTTACCTTTTAGATTGGCGTTAATCGAATGATTCATTAAAAGGTGTAAGGAAATGTCATCTTCTACTATAGTTTGTTTAATACCGGATGCTTTAAAGATTTGTATTGGACCAATCTGATAATCTAGTCAATCAATTTCTTATACATATTATAAGTTTTTTATATTATGTCCTCTACCATATTACTTTGGATTTCATTAGCCGATTCTCAACTGAGGTAGTTTATCTATATAATTAATACGCTACACGAAAGTTTGTCGGTTGAACTCCTCCGCCATTTCTTAACCGATTTTATCCATTGACGTCTCATTGGAAAGAGCGTGTCGCGTAGATTTGCAAACTGACCTTACATTTTTGAAAAAGTCCCTTGGGCTCTGCCCCAGTGGCTTTGAAAGTTCCCATGTTATCCTTATGAAGAACATAATTGTTTACATTTTGATCAGCTGTATAATTTTATTGCTGTTATTTACTTTTCAATTCAATTAAACACATTGAGTACATTTATTTACTATTTGAGTTTGTGTTGCGACGAGATTTTCTGCACTGGAAAAATATTACAAGTAAGTGCAGTCGCAACCGTTTGCCGGGGATAGCTCAGCCTACAATGGCTGGGTAAAGTTCCAGGGTCTGCGACAAGGTCAGGGAAACCACTAGGCCAAAAGCCGGGTCTAACCGGTATAGGACTGGCTCATACACGGGCACTGTGAACAAGTCAAAAACAAGTCACCAAAACAAACGTGCAATAATCACTACCAGGCCTACGCCGATTCTCCGCACTCCTAGGGGGTCGTTGCTGACTACGCAACTCGGGCTTCGTCCTAACTACCCAATAGTTAAGCCCAGAGTGCCTAAAACACGGTGAGTTACACGACGACTTGCCAATAAAAACCACAACGCGTGTTATCACCAGGCGGGGTCTACTAGGCCACTATAATCCAATACACAACTCTAATGCCCAAGCTAAGAATCAAACAGTTCACTCAATAATCGTACCACATAATAATATACAAGTACACTATAGGTAGAGTGACTACACCGCTAGTAGCTGGTCTCAATAAATACCAAGCTAAACAAGCAAAACTAAATGGCAATTGCACTATTAAAATTATTGAGCAACTTAGTAGCAGATGAATAAATATTAACTACGTTCCAAACACTTGATAAATATATTATCTGATAGCCGGTACTCCGCTATCCAAGCTACCAAGATAACGTGTTGGACTACCATTAAATTAAAATAATCGAATGAATATACAATAACAACCCTACTACTGTTACTGCTACTACCAACTTTATGTTACTTAGCTGGGCTTCTGTTAATCGGCTAATAATATTAGCTACTAGCCTACTGGCCACGTGTTTCCAACTACGCACGCTAAATCGTGCAACCTAGGTTTGTCGGGCCTCAGAGTTATTAGTAATATAACTAACTCTTGGTACAACGCAAAATAATAACTACTACAGTCAATAAATTATATTATTTGCGCTCTAGCACCTGCCCAGAACCGTCAGGAATATACTTTAATATTATTCCTGACTAATAAATAAATCCTAACTATCGTCAGGCTTTGACTAACACGGTTACAACTCTTAACTCTCTAACTCTCTTAAACCAAAATATAATAAAACGTCGTCCACTCACCACAAGTGGGTTACTGACTCACTACCCAACTTGAATGCCGACACTCACTCCTTATGAGCACCAATATCACACGACACCGTACACTTCTCTGTACCCACGTACGCCGGCCGTCTCCACTGGACACCAACACTGCCTTCTTCACTGTACGGGATCCACCACTAGAATGTCCGTTCTAGCTATCCTGAAAATCTAGGATATCCCAGGCTTATCGGCACTGATAAGCCGGGTCAAAGGGCGCTCGCTTGCCTCGCTGCCGCCGCTCGCTCACCTCAACAATCGGTGCGCGGCCAAATAGCAAATATTTACCCCCCTAGGAAAAAGGCTCGTTACAGTGTAAACATAACCCCCAGGACGTGATCGGGAGGTTTGATCGTGTTAGTATGGTTGTAACTTAAATTTGTGCATTTATCGTTGTTTTGTGTCGCTATGATGGATTGTGTTAGCATGATTGTAACTTAAATTTGTGCATTTATCGTTGTTTTGTGTAGCTATAATTTGTTTATTATTTGTTGTTTCTTTCTTTTAAATGTCTCCGACGCGACGACAACGAAACATAGACAGGAGGCGCAATCGTGATAACGACCGCAGCTACAGAACAGTGGCGCGTAATAGGCTTAACTCATCACAGTCTGAACCTGAACCTGGACAACTTCAACTATTTGGTTACAGATGCGCCCTTACACTACCCCAAAACGACTTTTCGTTCTCAATTGGCCCTCTATTAATGACCTGTGTTGCCTGTACAGCGAGGCATTTTGAGAAGGAGAAAACCAGCCGAAATGCTTTAGGTTGATCAATAACGAAGATAAACAGGGTCTGAGTTACACAACGGTAATATTTGAGTTGACTCTTTTAAACTCATTGTAAATATGACTGTTATTCAATCTGAAATAACTCCTGTAATACTTTGTAATTGCTCGAATTCGAGCAACATGTACACTAGTTCATTAATATACCTAAACACGCTCTAAGCACAGAAAACATTTGAAATCAAGTCGTAGGGAACAAGATACTGTAGTTTACAAAAAACTATTAAACAGTAGAAGCTTGAAAGAGCGTGTTTACAGTTGTGGCCCCAGTGAAATCAAATTGTTCCAAAAGAGTTGAACTATTGTTTAACCCTCTAAGGTGAAATCGGTCGTGGATTGGCGTGAAATGGTGTTTGTTCTGCCGGGATGAGGGAGGGTCCCCAGGATTTGACTGCGGGGTGAGAGTTTAAATGTCGGGCTTTGTAGAGTATACCCAATCTTTCGATGCTATGAGACGGCGAGGATTCATGGTGATTATTCATAAATTCACCTACACCCTATTGGAGTTCTTCCATTATTAATTAAGAATTGTCTCATACATCAACATACAACACTTCTATAAGTGATACCGTACTGAGATGTAGGAAAAGTACGCTTGCAAGAAGGAAGGTATTTTTTTGATTGGTCAGAAACGTGTATATTCATAACTATTTATAATAGTAACCACAAAATAAAAAAGTAATTTTAAGCTTAATTCTTGAAGTAAAAGTGCTAGAGCTATTGTAGAACCAGGGAAGTGCATTTAAAATATGCTATTTTACGTAATGTCAAGCTCGTGGAGGATTTTAAATCAGGAATCGTCAGATGAGGATTACATTTACCAAAATTTCACTTTATTGCAAATTTTGATTGAAATGAAACATGGTAAACATTTATTGGGAATTATAGAACAAGGTCGAACAAAAACAAAGTACGCTACTAAATGGTCAGTAATAATGCAAAAATATCGAAACTTACCTCCTTTAGTCATTGAGTAAATAATCGCGTTGAAAAGCAGTAGCCAACCACAAGCAATAAAAGGTGCTGAAAAATACTGTATAAGTATTTATAAACACGATCTCACTCTCCGACTTTCACAATATATGTTCATGTAGATTGAGTTAGGATTAGTTTAACCTTGTGTGCATATAAAGTAGAATGAATGTTCTTTTATTGCCAAAGCGCTACTTAAGACTTTGGCAACATGTCCGAAATACATGTAGATTAAATCGCTAGAATTAAATTATTAGAATGGCTTAAATGCGCGTTCTATAAATTGGATTGAATAAGATGTTTTATCAGAACATAGGATTTAGCCAATCAGCATTATTAAAAAAATCACATAAATACCTGTCTAGCTTTTTTGTGCATGGGCTCAGTTATACGTGTTTGCAAGTGTCAGTAGTCGGTTATTTTAGACGCAGCTTGTAAACTAGCCCAGAACTCTTGCCGCACTCGCCTGTGTTAAGCTGCTATTAAAAAAAGCTCTAAAAAAGTCCGCTAACGAATTTACACGTCATTTTCTGGACTTTGGCCTAACTATGTCTAAATCCTACCCAAGAGGGGGTTCATAAAAGGATTACATCAGGTAAAAAATGAGTTTTTAAATTGTTGCCCTAAAAACATGAAATTCCTCAATTTATTGCTTAACTATTATGTAGACCTTAAACAAATTTAGTTTATTGAAACGTTTTTGTGTGCCTATCCGTTACGGAGAGAATTAATAAAAATAGTATACTAAAAATTCCCATGTTTTTTATGGAGAATAAATAAACCGTTGTAGTTCAATTGAGTGGAAATCCAGCCAGGTAAAAGAAATTTCACTTAGTCTGCACGTTTGCCGCGGCGGGGGTATTTAATTCGCTACTGTATTAGCATATAAACTTAAACCCTGTGTGATCGAGCAATCACACAAATAATTTAATTTACAGAGTATCAGGATGTTACAAAAGCATTTAAATTGTCTAAACACTCTGCGTTGGCACAGAACATAACGTCTCTAAACAAACCAGCAAAGTCCCGTTCGATACACGGACGCACAGTTATTAAACCCTTGTCGACAAAAACCAAACATTTCACGCCCGATCACATCTGAATGGACTTAATAGATGAAGCCATCTGTACAGCGTGTTTGTGTGGAGTACTTACATGGATGGGACGATGAGAAGGGGTACTCCAGCGAGGGGAGGCGGGGGGCCGAGCTTGGGTGAAGGGAAGGTGGGCAGTGGTAGCAGAACATGCTAGACCCGTGACCGGCGATCTGAAACACACAAATATTATGTTAGATCTTGTGTAGGCCTATCGTCTAACAAAGTCTAAATACCGGTACTTCTTGCTAATAGTAGATGTGTGTTGACTTGATATCATCATAGACAAAAAGAATTAAATATAGACTGTCAGACGTGCTGCGGTTACCATAGTTTCTGGCGCACACCGCTGGGACCGTTATGTAGTTATGACGTACGCGCTACGTAACTTCACGGTGCTCTCAGCGGTGTGCGCCAGAACCTATGGTAACCATGGTAACCGGAGCACGGCTGACAGTCTATACTTAATTCTTTTTGTCTATGATATTATCTATGTATTTACACACAGTTCAGCCAGATGGTAGCACAATATCCACAATTGACAAGGATGAAACATAAAACATATACACAATATTGGCTATTAGCTGTTACTTTCCCTACATTCTACATTTGTTCTAATTGGCTCCTAAAAGACTATGTACAATTAACATAACATGATTTCCAGATACAAAGGATGATTATTTAATTTAGTCGTACACCTCTAAACTCTTTAATTAGTCGTTGGCTAACATTTTATTCTGACGAAAACAAATTTATTTGTTTTAATACCTCCAATGTGTCGTTAAGCACGTATTGAAACAGCACTTATAAAATGCAAATACAGTAGCTGCATCACAAAGTTCATATCAGTTTTTGCAAAAACCTTTTCTAAAGAAGTACATTTGCGACTGATATCATTATTCAGAAGCTGAAAGCCAAGCGTGATCGAGTTACTGTCCAAATAGTTACCTTAACTTTTTCATTAATTAAACAGGATTAAAACACGGAGCATGTGCCGGTGCCCCCCCCCCCTGGGTGAGATGGAGTTTCAATTCCATCTGAAGGTAAAACAGTTTCTCCATTAGGCGCTACATGTGTAAACGCAAAGTTCCATGTAAGCCAATTTACCAACTTAGAAGACATATTCAATTAGCCACAATTTGGCGGGTATGAGACGGTTTCCATGGCAACCTCTTGAGCCAATCCCGCTCTGTTTACCTGCTCCACTCTATATTGACTCGCAGAGATTCGATTTATAACAGTAATTGCTCGCAAATATTTGGCCGCTGTGATCGAAACGGTTTTTACGTTATTCGATAATTCTCCGATATATTTCCATTACTGCGGCCCCCGCGGCGGTCTTGTTTACCTTTCGGGATTCGAAAAATAATTGGTTTTTCAGTCATTAAAGCTTAATTCGTTGAATAAGTTAAATATTATTAGAATAAATGTTTAAATGACATGATTGATAGTTTTTGGTGTTACACGGTAATTGGGTTTGGATAGTTTTGCTCTAATTGCGTGTTTATTTAGGTTTTTGTCTTTTTCAATTAGTGGAAATAATTATTCGTGTGATTGTGTCTGTGTGATTTATTGCGAATAAGTGTACCTAGTAATCGGTGAATTACAGGTATTTGAGGTGCGCGTTGTCAATTATTAATGCCCAAATAGCGAAAATTGTGGATCGTAACAACTCTGTTCTAATAAATAATTAATGGTCATTCCAATGAATATGTCTTGCAAACAACATCACAAATACGATGTGAGATGTGAGTTCTATTATTACTCACTACCATCAATATTGGTTAACTGAGGCAGTATTTGGTGACAATTTTTTTATTATTTTTATATAGTTTTAATTTGACCAACAAACCTAATAGGATGGAAATTTTATTATTTAGAACCTCAATAACCTTTTTAAGCTGCCTACGCCCTTAGTGTATATTTTATGATATCGTTGCAAAATGGGCGTAGCATGCTGTGGAATTATGTGCGTAGCTTTTTTACTGAAAAAGATCAAATGTTTATCGAGTCAGGACCATTAGATTAAAGCTAAAGTACAATAAATAAATGAAAATAATAAAATTTCGTTATTTTAAAACGTTTCTCTATTATGTCAGATTTTCTTAACAGTATTTTTGAACTACCCAAATAAAGTGCTAAACAGTGTGTTTAAACATTTTTTTTCAATTTATTCCTAAATTGGTAAGTTTGCTGGATATAGACTAATTGATTTTAGGCTCTCGGGTAGCCCACTGTACATTGAAGGGCCAACATTATTTCCAATATTCAAGGACAGTTCGGCCCAGTTTTAAACCAACAAAAATAAAGATTATCTCTAGATCGAACCGGTGACCCTCTGATGATTAGGAAATCACCATAGGTATAGACATATTTTCAAAAAGCCAAACGTTGTACACGATCGTCTTAAATTTCCTTGAGACGAAATAGCGTATCCTATATTGATTTTCTCAAATTATGTGAACGTCCAAATCGCGTTGTAGAATTCACCCCCTTCTGATAATACTTGACTAGTAATATCCAAAATCGCACATAATAAATTGGGTTTTTTCAAGAAGTGGACTTCCACCATTTTACGCTGGGGTGGTTAGATTAGATTATGCCGTATTATAATAACTAACACAAACGAGGTAATATTTTTACCATTTACCTTTATCTGAACACATGAAAAACAGGGGCAGGAATACACAATGACATCTATGTAAATTTTTCTTTAACTAATTACACAAGATTACCACTTTTGATTTTGTTAATGTACGTACCGTAGTTTGTCTTTTCAAATAAACCGTCCTAAAACGAACTTCTCCGTGATATGACTACTATGCTTTGAGATTGAAATGTTAAATTGTATACAAATCTTGTTTAGGGTTACATTAGGTTGATTTAGGTAAGGTTAGGTTAGGTTAGATTGATTAGGTTAGAACCAAGACCTAAAACTTTAGTTGTGTATTGTTACACGTGTTAGTTCGTGGTAGTCGAAAAACGAAAAAGGTCCAAAATCCAAAATTACGCTAAACAAATTCCACAAAAGCACGGACTCACAAGGGCGCCCTATTTCGCAATAACCAAATCGAAGGCCGGCCAGGCTGATTGAGTTAGGCTGTTGTCGATTTAATAAACTGTCCAAGTTAGCGGCAGAGGTCCAGCATGGCATATTGACCCCACTTGACCTAACATTGCGACCGAGACTGAAATAGCGCCATTGGACGACGGTAGTATTTTTACAAACATGTCGCCTCATCCGATTTGTCCGAGTTGTAACTCACTTAGCCCGAACTTCTTAGGTAACTTGGTTTGTGGATTTCTCTGTTTTCTTACCAATAATGTCACTTCTAAGTCGAGTAACGTGCCTCGAATGTTCGGTCTACCTTGTTACCGCTAACTTTGTTTCAGTTTTTGTTCTGTTTCTTAACAACATTTCTCCGAATAGATTGGTTTTAGAGTGTACATGAGTAAGTAGACTCGACTACTTATAATATTAATGTGTTGGACGTAATTTCTCACTCGCAGAAGCAGTATTAATATACATCCACTTTTATGTAGCCTAATTATAATAAAATAACTGAACTACTAACTAAGTATATGTTTCAAGATGTATATGCTCTATGCTGGGCAACTAAATTGATTAAATGAAATACTAAAGAAGCGTAGTGTAAATTTTTCTTTATTAAGTTTAACGGTCATACCAAGAAAACTTCTATTTTTGTGTATATTAGTTTATATCACTGATTAAATAAAAACGATGTTCACGTCGTTTCGGGATCCGGCATCTGCTCCGTCTTCAGGTAGACAGTAACTAAAATTACGATAAGATTACAAGCCGAGCAACGCCTTCAAAACTATATATCAAACCAAGCATTCATTAATTACACAATCAGAAACTATTAATTTCACATAGTGATGGACTGTGTCCGCAATATTCCTTATAAACTCCATACGTCCGCAAAAGAATGTTTAAAACGCGCTTGGACTTTATACCTGTTTTTAATAAGGATTTAAAAACTACCTATTGCAATGCGTAGACGTTTAAATTGTCAATTTCAGTGTTAGTCAATCATTGACTTGAGTAGTTATACAAATTGTTTTACTGTGAAGAAATTTGTACACGAATGAGTTTTAATTTATTTTGTATACATCATCGTCATGTTCTGAGGGGGGAAAAACGTAGGTAATGGTTTTTACTGTCCACATCCGTTTTTACCATAAATTGCTTCAAAACCAACACCAAAGTAATGCAACGAGATGGTCCGGAATTTTTAGAATTAAAAATCATCAAAGCAGTTTATTTCCACTACAAAATAATTTCCAAACAAATTGACTAAAGGTGTATGTATACTAGGTTGTTGTATACTGTATAGTGTAGCGACGCATTGTTGTTGGATACCGGACGTATGTGTTTAGCCGTGCAGTAGAGCAGCGGAGCCCCTACCAGCAACGATACGAGCTTAATTGTCCTTGATTAAATCTTCTACACTTATTAACTCGATGATTAGACTATTACTAGCAAGCCTGTGAGTTGAGTCTAGTGGTAGTTAGAAACAATCCAATCTAGGGGGACATTGTCTAAGAGAAATCGGGGACGGAAAAAAATATTTTGGGTCTAAATTTGTATTTAATGTAGGCCAATACGTAAGAGACCGCAGGAAGAGATAAGTTTCAGGAAGAGTAACCAAAAAGTTGCTATTTTTTTATCAATATACCAATCGCACCGAACACCCTAAATGAAGACTCTAAAAACTTAAAACTCTATACAGTAAGTATCTACAAAAACACGCTGAACTCACCCGAATTTCACTCGATTGGCCAATAAGAACACAATGGTGGAACGTCAAGATTGTGATGTGTTTTCGTTAAAGTACTTTTATTTGTCTACTTCAAATTATAATTTTATTACTGTTATGCTTAAGTTAATTTAACTACATTAATCAAATACAGTAGATAGGACAACGGTAAATGATAAATTAAATTAAGTTTATTCATAACCCTTCCTCCAAACTTACATCTTTAAGCCTAATTAGCTATTGATAAATTTCTTATTATTTTGTTCCAACGCCATTTTGGTCTGATTAATCAGACCAAAATCAGGGGTATCCTTTTTACATGTGTACCTTTTTATTTCAACTGTGGAACTATTTTTTACTTTAGAGCATGTTTAATTTGTATGGCATATTGATTCAAAAATTGCAACCTCTTCATGCGACACCCTGTATATAGTACAGTATCACCGTCGTAGAAAATATTAGAACTTAGTGAATTTCCCATCTTCATATTAAATTTTACTTCCAAACAGGATCTAACTCTGTAAATGGAAATATACACTTATATTTACGCCCAAACAACTTATTATGCCGATGAATTATTTATTATATGCATTCAAAAAATTTACACTTATTGCATGAATTACTCATAATGTAAACTGGATTTTAAAACACGCTTATTCATTCGCTTATATTACAGTATCAATGTTTCGAATCTAGTATCATCCATATGCTCAGTTCACATACAATCTTTTTCAAGATGGATTAAATTCCCCTTGTTTGTATTTTTATGATAATTCCAGTTAATTACAAGAATTTTCTTGTACTATGCTCAAGCTTGTCATGTTTACTTATTTAATTCGAATTGCATGTAGCTTTAAATAGAAAATTGTATTTAGCTTCAAGGCCTGAAAACTTGATGACTGTTGCTATCTGCTTGGACTTAAATTTTGTGGCCTAATTTGACGAGACCTATTGTAAACAATGTATTTTCTCAGTGGTCAATACATTTCTTATTCTTATTAATGTTGTTGTATTCGCTCTGGTAAAATATCTGCCGTTAGTAGAGAAAAATTGAATTCGAACGTATGCTGCTACGATGAATTCAGTAAAAAGTAGTTTTGTTAGAATTTGTCAACATGTACGAACAAAGCTATATCGATAAACAAACAATAAACAACAATTAATTTACTCTGATATTGAATATAGGGTACATCGTTAAGCATTTGTTCAACTGAACTTAATTTAAAGAATACAAACACAAATTTATTTCATCTTGTGTATTTTAAAACTGACAATAAAAAGTAAAAACATTATTTACAATATTTTCAATCCATATTTTAAAACTTATTCATTTAGATATACACGTTTTTGTGATAAAATTCTCAAAATCCCAATAAGTATCTTTCAAGCCATTTTAAAGATAAATCCCTAATTTTCTCATCATCAAAGTATTTTACTATGTAGGGTGAACCCAAAACAACTTGTTTAAATTCATCAACTGACTGGTTTAGTGTTTTGGTTTAATTGTATTATTGCTGTACATACACCATGTTGTATTGTGTACCCGTTGTACAACAAACATCTTCTTTACTAATTTTATCATAGAAAATCGCTGCAGCTCAGTAATAATGCTGTTGGTATAAATACAATTAATCTTTATAAACAAAGACGTACAGTACTCCCATGCTAGTTGACGCACTCGATGACGCAAACAGCTGTTTAATTTAGTATTAAGTCGTTATTACACTAACGTAATTTCAACACATGATTACCGTAATCAGTTAGCGTTTCGACTGCACAACTTGTTGAATCATATTTCAACGATTATTATTCGTTAACTAGCTAATTTGATAATTTACCGACGATAATAATTTCTGTCTGGCGTCATTGCATTGGGAATGACGCACATTTAGAAATTAGGGCACATCTTTCTCTGTGTTTAGGTCCATGTTTGTGTTAACAAATAGATTGACGAGTGTACAATAATATTATTTAATTATAATTAATATTAATTATTAAAGTTAATATTGTTTTAATTATTTGTAACACAACACAGATTTTTATGGGGGTTTAAAAATACTACTTTCTTTACTTTGTATTTCTATCTGTTGTTTATTAACATCTGTAGTTGTCTTTTATACTTTTATACTCCGCACGCCACGCGCCGCTGCGGCCTTGTAAGTACATTGCGTTGATATGGGAGCTTTTACAGCCTGCGACGGCCAGCCGCAAGCAGCTGCGGCTGGCTAGACGGTTCACCTAGGAGCCGCAGAAACGTGCGGCTTCTAGGTATATTAGTATTGCGCTATAATATAGGAGCTTTTATACATTTAAATAGTACCCATTGAGTTTCTTCAATAAAATATTTAATAAGTGTTACAAATACAAACATCGTAAAATATTTCCATCCATTTTCTTAACTATGATTATTGAATGATTACGCGCATGCCTTAACACTACACTCTGAGTCCAAGAATTTGGACCTGATATTGTAGAAATATCTTCGAGTAACACGATAAAGTGTTAGTTGGTCAAAATGTTATAGTTTTGGTATTTGACAATGATCGTAATTTACCAATTATTTGTTAAAGTTTCAAGTTTTATTGACTATCTTGCAAATATTACCTTTAAAGTCCGTTACTAAAGAAGATATTAAATTACAATAAAAATTTAAGTGCATTAAAAATTCAAGAATTTAAGTGCACAAACAGAAAAAAATCATTTTAGATTTCAAAATAATTTATTGTTCCAAACATTGCAATAAGCAATAATATTCAGCTTTTTATGTAAACCCCCAATTAGTCTAATGTTATAACATTTAGCCAAAGTAAAAACAAATAGATAAAACTTTATAAATGTTGGATGAGTTTATTAACCACACAACAAACTTATTGTCAATTAATAGTAAACAAACTGTCTTGGCATCTTTCTGGACGCCAAAAGCATTAATTCATAGTAAACAAACATTAAATTATTTGATTCTGACTGTGTTTCAATCGCATAATATCGAAAAAAGAAAACACAATAAATTGCAAAATCTGCGAATCCTAGTACAATCCGAATAACATACAAAATTGATAATTGTGTATTATTTAACTGTAGATTAGATTAACTGTATTATTATTAAAATCTTAGTTTTTTTAAGTCATCAAAATAAAACAACCAATCGAATTTTCAAAAATTGTAGAATTTCCACAACCGCTTACTTTGAACACCGAGAAATCCCCTAGAAAGTTAGTTGTGACAACCTTATGAAATCTTATTTACATTTCCAACACCGCTTACTTTGATACCGAAAAATTTTTAAGGAGCAAAAATCATAGACTACCCTACACTACAAAAAATTAGAGCTTTTAAAATGAAATAAAAAACCGCTTACTTTGGCAACTGGGAAATCCTCTTGAGCGACAACGACCACGTCACGGTACGAGCGGCACAATCGCTTATCAGCTGACGAGCGGGAAGCGGACGGTACGCGACTGACAACGTTCGACCGCGGGCCGGCGCGAGGAGGGCAACGCGCGTGCGCGAGGGCGGGGCTTACCAATGGGCGCTCACGTGGTGGGCGTGGCCTCCCCTCCACCACCGCTAAGTGGTTTGCTTCTTGTAAAGTAATTTTCTTTCGACGATTTGTCCCGGCATGTGATACCGTTTAAATAGGCCATTAGAAATGAAATCTTCCTGCGATCTTTATTGTGTTGGTGTTTGCTTACTTGGCCATAATTATCGATACTGCCGAGTCTGACGGTGGTTCTGGTGCTTGGTTTGATATATTGTTGGGGCAAATGGAATACGTTCTTTACGTGTTTCAACGTAATGGTGTACGTCTTGAGTTGATTCTAGACTTATTCTGAGTACTAATATTATCAGTCAGAAAGTTTGGATGTACATATGGATGTTTGTGACAAGTAGCTTAAACGCGAAAAATACTAAACCGACAGGGTTGAAATTTGGTATGATAGCTCACATTCCCGATTAACATATAGACATATTCTTATCTCAAAAATAGTTTTGGGCTCCGCCCCAGTGGCTCCGTAGTTTTCCATGTTAACCTTATGAGTATTTATTTATTTATTTGTATACAAAGAAATAAAATATTCATAATAATAATAATAAATAATATTCATAATAAGTATTCATATTTAAAGAAATTAAAGAATTTAGTCGGCGGTTTCAACTGCACAAGTTGGTTCTATGACATTAAATAGCATTAAAAAGTTAATGGGTTTACAAGTTACAAACAGGGTGCAGCACTATTATTGTTTGCGTTTATGGCAACCAACTATTAACAAAAAGGCCGTGCTACAAAATGAGAACTTTACTTTTTTCTATGGTTTAGGTGCAGTAGTACCATTATGGCTATGGTAGGTGTGCTATACTATAGCATAGGCCTACCGAATAAATTAAAAGGACCACATTTTCTTAAACCGTGTCCTCTCCCAAGCTAAGCTTTCCAATCATATGCTACACCATTGAGCCTTATGTCTGCTTATGTACGCTTTAGTGGTTTGAAGACTACAAAGCATGGTGTCTTTAACATTAAAAACATAGAAAGTCGGTTTGCATTAAGCAAAAGTTGTATTTTTGTTTCAGCTTGAACAGTAAAAACAGTAAAAAGATCCCTGTTTTCTGGTATTCAAACCACTAAAACAAAAAAAAAAATATTTAAACCTCAATAGTGTAGCATATGGTTGGAAAACTTATAAAATGGCACAGTTTTTAACATATTCCGACACTTTCTTGTGTACAGGGTGTGAAAATGCAATAGACCATTGCTTTTTAAAATTTTATCAAACATCTTAATTTTTATCTTTGAATCTATTTACAATGGAGTTTTTACAACTGATCCTCCGTCATTTTCTATTATTCTTGTTCAAAATTTAATGTAGAACACGAAAATGACATTATACTGTATACTCAAATCCATATACAGGTAATTGAGTAATCGCTGCATTAAGTTTAAAAGCATGGTTTTTTTAAAAAAAACATACAATATTTTTTTGGGAAGCTAATTTTTAGACTTGGAACATTTTATATGCATCATCACACTTCATTTACTTTGTACTTACACCAAAAAAATTTTGTCACCCTGTATAAGGTGTTGGATAGGCTATCTGAGGTGTTGATTGCTGTGAGTGTTTCTCGGTGCAAAACCACCAAACATTACACCTTATCTGCGTGTTCTAAAAGAATATAGCTGTGTTAACTTCTCAACCAATAATAACCAAGTATTAACATCATTAAGAGCCAACCTAAGGAGTAATCTATCGGTAATACCTAAGCAAACAGACTGCCTAATTGCAGCTAAGGAGGCTAAGGAGAGAGAGTTAAGGTAAGCAAATCTCCGTAATCTCCCGTTAGCTGATCACTCCGGGATTGCTTGTGGCTAACATTGTAATTAAATGAGGATTAGAAAAGACGAGGAGGGTTGAGAAACCGCACAACACCAACTTTGTCATAAGAAACTCGCGATTGTATTTAATAATTCAAACAGATTACGTTTTGATTTTGAATAAAACATGTGGAACTGTTTAAACCTGGAATTATAGTTTTTCATGAATGGTCCTATATATAGCTAAATAACCAGCGCTAATTAACGAAGAAAACTGATCTGGTTAGTGACATTTCATAGGTGGGTATTTATGTATTCACATGTATTTATCACTAATTTTTACATTAAAAAGTTATAATATAAAAACCCCGTAAAAACACTACCTTTGTCGCGAAGAACCATTCGTGTTTGTGGTCAATAATAAATCTGATCACGTATTTTATTTATCGTACACGATTACAACTGTTGAAATGTAGGCTTCTGTAGGGGACATTCATTTACCTTCTAAAATGCAGAATACTTCGTAAGAACCTAGTATCACTGACTATACACAGAATAGACATCACATGTAATGTAAAAGTTTGAAAAAAAAAAAAAAAAACGTGGTGCAAACTGTTGAGATGGCTTACTAAAGACAATATTCTGTGTTAAGTGATAAATAAATCAGCTGTTTGTTATGCTACAGCATTCAGTGTATAGTCAATCGTAGTGGAGTATTAAAAAGTCAGTATGAACTACAGAATGTTTTTGCAGTCAGGTGACGCATGCCTATCCTGCGTCTTACACGTAAAAACATGAAACAGAACTTGCACATTACTTAAAACATAAAACATACTCTACACACATAAAACACATAACACACATAAAACATAATACAGTACTTGTACTTATCACCCTAGTCTCAGTGTGCTAGGTGTCTTGTCGAGTTTAATACTACCAAGTAACAACGATATCGAATCCCACGCTTGTATGACCATTTTTAAAGTAGACTTTTCATAAAAATATTAAAAGTCAAAATACACTGAAATACAGCATGGCCGGATTTGTGTGTAAAGATCCAGCGATGATCATATCTCAGTGCGCCTGCATTGAACGGCGGCAACATGAATGATGTAGTCTACCCATATTGCCTATGCCGAGCCGTACGTAAACCAATAGAAGTTTTCAGAAAAAAAAAACAATTTAGAGGAAACCGGAGTAGTAAGAAATACCCCCGCCACAGCGAACCTGCAGATTAAGCTAATTTTCATTTGCCTGGCTGGATTTCTACAAAAAATGTCAGATTTATTTCCTATATAAATAACATTAATTTCAAATTTAGGTTTGCTGCTACAGGGAGTGTATTGAGGTGTGTTTTCTTTATTGAAATGTTGATAGCTTAGTTTGAAATAAATAAAATGGCAAAGTTTGAATAATATGTATCCTTAAACAAGCAAACTACAACAGTTTATTTATTCTCCATAAGAATATCATGGAAATTTTAAATTTAATTTTTTTTATAATCTCCGTAACCGTTAGGCATACAACAAGGCTCCAATATACAACATTATTTTTTTTTTAAGCCCTACTAAATGGATTCAAAGAGAATTGTGAAATTTTGTGTTTTTAGGTAAAAAAAATTGGAAAACCCGATTTTTACCCGATAAAACCCCCCATAAACCCCTGTTTTCATTGTCCGATCATGCTGGTTCGCGAATTCGTTCGAATAAACATTGGTTTACACGTTTGTACCACATTTCATCATGGCCTCTCTGGGGACCTCAAAACGAAAAAGTAAATCGGTCCCGGGTCTAGGTCTTGCCATGAGACACGGTAATAGCTTATTCCCTATATGGGAAATTCGCTAAAAAGGTGAAACGAGTACTACTAATTGGTATCTCTAAATCTAATAGGAGTACAAGAGTTTTAACAAAACTTGCGATAAGTGGTCCGTATGGCGAATCTGAACAATCAATTTGGATGCTCTATGATTTTTTAAATAAGTAAAAAAAAATATTCTCTTATCGTCCCACTGACTTCTCCTATTACCCCAAGTGGGTTATTTAGAGATGAGGCTGTAATTTTCTTATTTGAAAGTGTTCTGAAGTTGCTGGGATATTCAGAGAAACCTTATATTGAGACAAGCAAGCTTAGGGGAAAAATCATTAAAAAAAATTAAAAACAAATTAAAATTTATTTTAAGCAATCCAAAGTTGTGCGGAAAAGTACACAAATGAGGAATTACTGAGTGGTAAATAAGCTAGAGCACCACGTTTTTTTCTATCTTAGGGCATGGATGAAAAATAGACAGGTTTTTGTCCCCCCCTCCGACATTCCTTTTCTCTAAAAATATCTTTCTTTCAACAGAAGAATCGTGAAAATCTGTCAAGTGTTTGATTCAGAATCTGTGAATAAAAACTTGCTATGTTTTAACATAAAATTAGGACGAATTAAAATACAAAACAGACCTAGTCTATCTTTCTTTCAACAGAATCGTGAAAATCTGTCAAGTGTTTGATTCAGAATCTGCGAATAAAAACTTCCTGTGTTTTAACATAAAATTAGGACGAATTAAAATACAAAACAGACCACGTCGAATGAAGTACTTAGCTTGGAAGTTCAGTCAACGTCAAAGTATTACAATATACACTAGGTTTGCACCTATAAAAGTGTTAACATTGATTTTTTTCAATCGTGAAGAAATTGTCAAAACAGTGTCAAAAGTTCGATACAATGTGAGTAGGCAGTAGAAAACTAATTATAAAGTTGTTGAGAGCAGACAGCCGTAGTAATCATTAAGCAGATTCCGTTTAAACAACTGATTATTTCTGCGCCATCTCCAACTCCTTAACTCGACTGTCTTTGTTTGATGACTTTTACTTGTCAATCTTGAAAATAATTAACTTCTCAACTCCTCCGCTGTCCATAAATAGACGGTAGAAAACACAATAGACTGAGCACTTCAATATCTATGCTAATGGAGGCTTTGATGTCATTAGACAACTTGTTATGTGAGAGGTATTTTATTGATTTTCCAATTAAGAATTCAACTGACAAATTTTCATCGTTTATAGAACTTAAAAGTGTTGTATTTATGTTTGCTTTTTAAGGTTATACTATTTGCTAAGCGGTTGTTAACTGACGTACCTGATCCGCAGC